CGCGGTGGAAAGGTAGCAGCTGCAGGCCAGCCCTGGGTTTTCTGCCCTGGGCGGTCAGGGTCCCTGGGGCTGCTGGTGCTGTTAGCTTGGCTCTGAGGAGAAAGACTAAGGACTCCTTAGGTGTTTGTGGACCCCGTGCATCTCAGATCCGTAAGGGTCATGGAGCACTCCTGTGCTTCCCTGGTGTCTTCTTGGGTCTGAGAGTAGAACTTCCCCTAACCCCAGGGGAAGCCTGGTGAGCTTTCTTGGTAGGTGATGTCCCTGGCTCTCAAACTCACCAGCAGACACAGTCTTCATAGTAGCTGCTGCCCACAAAGATGGGACCAGCAAGCAGTCTGCTGCCTGTGGTGTCCAGGGTTGAGTGGCATGGCCAGAGGCCCCCACTTGAGTCAGCCTTACTTGCTCTTAGGTACTGATTCCCGTGTTTGCACTGGGCCGGGCACAGGAGCTCTGCATCCTGCTGGAGACCTTCTGGTGAGTGCTGGCACAAGGCCTTCCCTGAGGGGCAGTGGGAGAGGTGCGAGAGCTCATGGTTACTAATGACCATCACTGGTGCGGCGGTGGTGGCCCTGTTGGCTGCCTTGCTGGCCAGGGAGGTCCAGCCACGTGTCTGAGGCTGCGCCGTCACATCAGCACTGGTAGTCGGCTGTGTTGGGTCGCTGGCCCCACCGAGCCTCCTCACAGCGCTCTGGGCTGGTGCGAGCCCCAGTGTTTATAGGACACAAACTGAGGGTTCAGGTCTGTGGTTGGGGGGGTGGAGACCATATTCCAGGCGACCTGGTGGTATCCTGCACTGTGGCCTCCGCGCCGACTGGCTCTGTGCACAGGGAACGCATGAACCTGAAGGTGCCCATCTACTTCTCCACGGGGCTCACGGAGAAGGCCAACCACTACTACAAGCTGTTCATCACCTGGACCAACCAGAAGATCAGGAAGACCTTCGTCCAGAGGAACATGTTCGAGTTTAAACACATTAAGGCCTTTGACCGGGCATTTGCTGACAACCCGGGTCCCATGGTGAGGCCCTGGTGGGGCATGTGAAGATCCCCGCTCAGGTCTCTGGGAGAAAGGTAGGGGTCGGCTGGGGCCTGTGGCAGGGCTTGGGCCACGAGTCTGCCGCCCTGACCCCATACCTGCCCGCAGGTTGTGTTTGCCACACCAGGGATGCTGCATGCTGGCCAGTCCCTGCAGATCTTCCGGAAGTGGGCAGGAAATGAGAAAAATATGGTAAGGGATCTGGGCCCCAAGATTGCAGGAGGTCTGTGGGTGGGCAGAGACGGGACTATGGGTTCCCACAGCAGCCCGTGGATCACCGGGGGTGGGGGTGGGGGGTGGGAGTGGGGGGGTGGGGAGTGGGGTGAGGTTTAACTTATTGTTCCAGGCTGTCAGGCAGGTACGTCCCAATGTAGCTGAGCCTCCTCCTGCCCATAGGTCATCATGCCTGGCTACTGTGTGCAGGGCACTGTGGGCCACAAGATCCTCAGTGGGCAACGCAAGCTGGAGATGGAGGGACGGCAGGTGGTGAGTCCCCTCGGCCCCTGGGTTGGCAGGGCTCCCGGGCCCCGCTAGTGCTGAGTGTGTTTAAACCGCGCTGCTGCAGCTGGAGGTGAAGATGCAGGTGGAGTACATGTCATTCAGCGCCCACGCGGACGCCAAGGGCATCATGCAGCTGGTGGGACAGGCAGAGCCAGAGAACGTGCTGCTGGTGCATGGTGAGGCCAAGAAGATGGAGTTTCTGAGACAGAAGATCGAGCAGGAGTTCCGTGAGTGCCAGGAGATGGGGGCGGGGCCTCTGAGTGCCGGAGGGAGGGGCGGGGGCGGGGCCTCTGGAGTTCCGTGAGTGCCAGGAGATGGGGGCGGGGCCTCTGAGTGTCGGAGGGAGGGGCGGGGGCGGGGCCTCTGGAGTTCCGTGAGTGCCAGGGTATGGGGGCGGGGCCTCTGTGAGTGCCGGAGGGAGGGGCGGGGGCGGGGCCTCTGGAGTTCCGTGAGTGCCAGGGTATGGGGGCGGGGCCTCTGTGAGTGCCGGAGGGAGGGGCGGGGGCGGGGCCTCTGGAGTTCCGTGAGTGCCAGGGTATGGGGGCGGGGCCTCTGAGTGCCGGAGGGAGGGGCGGGGGCGGGGCCTCTGGAGTTCCGTGAGTGCCAGGGTATGGGGGCGGGGCCTCTGCGGTGACTTCCGTAACTCCTCGGTACTGCTCCCTCTCTAGGCGTCAGCTGCTACATGCCAGCTAATGGAGAGACGGTGACACTGCCCACCAGCCCCAATATCCCCGTGGGTATTTCCCTGGGGTTGCTGAAGCGGGAGATGGCTCAGGGTATGGGACCGGTGGCACTGGGTGGGGTGGCAGGGGTCTGGGGTCAGCAGGCACTGGGTGGGGTGGCAGGGGTCTGGGGTCAGCAGGCACTGGGTGGGGTGGCAGGGGGCTGGGGTCAGCGGGCACTGGGTGGGGTGGCAGGGGGCTGGGGTCAGCGGGCACTGGGTGGGGTGGCAGGGGGCTGGGGTCAGCGGGCACTGGGTGGGGTGGCAGGGGTCTGGGGGCTGGCAGCACTGGGTGGGGTGGTAGGGGTCTGGGGGCTGGCAGCACTGGGTGGGTTGGCAGGGGTCTGGGGTCAGCGGGCACTGGGTGGGGTGGCAGGGGTCTGGGGGCTGGCAGCACTGGGTGGGTTGGCAGGGGTCTAGGGTCAGTGGGCACTGGGTGGGGTGGCAGGGGTCTGGGGTCAGTGGGCACTGAGTGAGGTGGCAGGGGGCTGGGGGCTGGCAGCACTGGGTGGGGTGGCAGAGGTCTGGGGTCAGCGGGCACTGGGTGGGGTGGCAGGGGTCTGGGGGCTGGCAGCACTGGGTGGGTTGGCAGGGGTCTGGGGGCTGGCAGTACTGGGTGGGGTGGCAGGGGTCTGGGGTCAGCGGGCACTGGGTGGGGTGGCAGGGGTCTGGGGGCTGGCAGCACTGGGTGGGGTGGCAGGGGTCTGGGGGCTGGCAGCACTGGGTGGGGTGGCAGGGGTCTGGGTGCTGGTGGGCACTGGGTGGGGTGGCAGGGGTCTGGGGTCAGTGGGCACTGAGTGAGGTGGCAGGGGTCTGGGGCCTGTGTTGATAGTGCTGCCCTGTTCCCCCACAGGGCTGCTCCCTGAGACCAAAAAGCCACGGCTCCTGCATGGCACTCTGATCATGAAAGACAGCGTGAGTGTGTGGCAGTGGTGGGGGTGGGCTTGCCCTGCTCCCTCCCTGACCTCTCCGTGTCCCCACAGAATCTCCGGCTGGTGTCCTCAGAGCAAGCCCTCAAGGAGCTGGGTCTGGCTGAGCACCAGCTGCGCTTCACCTGCCGCGTGCACCTGCAGGACACCCGCAAGGAGCAGGAGACAGCCCTTCGTGTCTACAGCCACCTGAAGAGGTGCGCCCCGCCTCCCCCTCCCCGCTCCTCTGCAGGAAGGCCGGGGAAGCGGGGTCTCACTGCGCCTCCCCACAGCACCCTGAAAGACCACTGTGTGCAGCACCTCCCTGACGGCTCGGTGACGGTGGAGTCCATCCTCATCCAGGCTGCCGCCCACTCCGAGGACCCGGGCACCAAAGTGCTGCTCGTCTCTTGGACCTACCAGGTAGAGGGGGTGGGGTGCTCACAGGCCTGGGAGAGGGGTCTCCTTCCTTGGCAACGCTGTGTTCTCCTCTCCTGCAGGACGAGGAGCTGGGGAGCTTCCTCACAGCCCTTCTCAAGAAGGGCCTCCCCCAAGCCCCCAGCTGACGCGCCGCCCAGGCCTGCCGCCCCTGCCCCGCATGAGCACCTCAGCTTCCACGCCAGGGCTGTGGGTACCCGGGAGCGTGGACCCGTGGCTAGGCTGCAGGTGCCGCCCCAGGAACGTGCAGAGCCCTGGGCCAGCCTGAAGAACATTTTTGGCTGAAGTAATAAATAGGCCTCTTGGGCCTTGTCTTTTATTCTCACTCCCAAGCTCAGAAGATGGGGGGGGGGGGGGACCGCTTAGGTCCTCACACGCTTCCTGCTCCTTACCCAGCTACAGGAAGGGCGTGCAGGGTGGCAGACCGCGTAGGTGGTGGCCACAGCCTCCCGTGGATGTGCTCTGCTCTGAGGGCAGTGAGTGTCTGACAAGGTCCAGCAGACAAGGCCGCAAGTGTGTGTCCGGCATGGCGCGGGGGGGGGGGGGGGAATCTGTGGGTAGAACTGGGTCAGCCTGGGGGGCCGGGGGTCAGCCCGGAGCCCCTCCCCACCACTGCCGTCTGCAGAACTCAGCCTCCACACTGAGGTCTCACTGGCCATCTGAGGAGGGGCAGCTTAGTTTAGGCCACCATGCTTTGGTCACTAATCCTTAGCCAGAAATCCTTTGGCCAACACAGCATGCTCCTGGGGCCCTATCTTTGTCCCTGGCTGCTTGGATTCCCATGCAGCAGGATGATGTGGCGGCTTTGGCTGCTGTCAAGTGCCCCTCAGCTCGGACCCCATCTTAGAGGACCTTCCCGTCTCATGTCTACCATCAGAGCTTGAAGGCACTCACAGGGCTCTGCCTCAGGGATAAGCCAGGAGCTGGCGCTGAGGGCCTGGTGCCTGCGCAGGAGTCTCAGCTGCAGTCTCCTCACCCGGGTGGAAGTCAAAGCCCTCAGTCCTGCAGCCACCAGCACAGCTGTCGTTCAGATACCTGCTTACGTCCCCACCCCACCCCGGGACCACCCCCCTGTCAGTACAGGAGTCCAGAAGCACAGCTTCCTGGAGATACAGATACCTGTGACATCCAGGGTACAAGCCACTCCAGCTCCCTGGCCTGCGGTGTGGTCTCTAAAAAGGAGGCTGGCAGGATGAGGACTGATGACCCCAAGGCTTGTGCACCTAGAGGTCCTCTGCCAGCCAGCAGTTCCTGAGTCATGGGCAGGTGTCAAATGCACCAGTAGCCTGTGCAAGTGAAGTCGGAGCACCAGTGGGCACCTGGTCACGCAGCCTTCCCTTGGCCCATGTAGATGTGAGTTGGGTGATGAGGGACACAGTGGGCACTTAGAGGAGGGGATGCCTCACCAGTCGCGAGTCCTGCCTCGAGATAGGCCCTACCGGGAAGGTCAGCCGCATGGCGAGAGGCCGGCTGGGCATAGGGTGTGGCCAGCAGAACTCACTAGCCCCAGTAAAAACTTTTAGTGGCTGCCAAAGTCTATCACCTGTCAACTGCAGAGCTCTCAAGCAGAGAAGGGATCCTCAGGAGAAAAGCTGCAGTCTACCTCTGCTTTTAACCCCGGGGTGGGGAGGGCAAAGCCACAGGCACATGGGATTGGGGCGCACACTGGCTGGCCAGCCTTCCACCACTGCCAAGTCCTGGCTCCCTGGGCCCAGCCACAGCCTCCAGCCCAGCATCAGTGGCTTACCTACTCTTGTAGGGCTGGCTGGACTGGGGACGTGGAGACCTGGCACGGGGCGCACACTGAGCGAGCTCCTGGGCTTGCAGCTGGGAGCCTTCGGCATGGGCAGCTGCGGGGAGGCAGTGGGGCTGAGCCTCTCCCCTCCTGGTTCACTCCAACACTATACTTCGTCTTCGGAGCCCAGTGTAGGTTTTGATCAGACACAGGCAGCCAGGTGCTGCCCACTGCCAGGCAGTACTGGCATGGTCTGGAGGAGGCTGCCTGGCAAGCATTGAGGGAGATCTGGCTTCACCAAGAGGGGACCTGGTATCTCCTGGCCTCCAAGTCACAAGAGGGCAAAGATGGCATATTCCCCTGCTCACCTGATACATAGGTGCTTCAGGTGCATGTTGAGGACTTGAGCCAAGGCCTGAGGCCAGACTGCAGGCCTGAGCCACAATGGATGTCCTCTTGCTCAGGGCGTGGACTTTTTAAGATTTGACCCACCTACTCCGCTGACCCCTGCAGACCCTCCTGAGTCCCCTCTGACCCCTGCTGACCCTCCTGAGTCCCCTCTTATCCCCGCTGACCCTCCTGAGTCCCACCTGACCACCACTGATCCCCCCTGCTGACCCTCCTGAGTCCCACCTGACCACCACTGACCCTCCTGAGTCCCGCCTGACCCTCCTGAATCCTGCCTGACCACCACTGACCCTCCTGAATCCCCGCTGACCCTCCCCTACTGACCCTCCTGAATCCTGCCTGACCCCCACTGACCCTCCCCTACTGACCCTCCTGAGTCCCCACTGATCCTCCTGACCCCCTGCTGACCCTCCAGAGTCCCACCTGACCCCTTGCAGACCCTCCTGAGTCCTGCCTGACTGCCACTGACCCTCCTGAGTCTCCTCTGACCCTCCTCTGCTGACCCTCCCCAACTGACCCTCTTGAGTCCTGCCTGACCCCCATTAACCCTCCTGAGTCCCCCCTGACCCTCCTGAGTCCCCCTGACCCCCACTGACCCTCCTGAGTCCCCCGTGACCGCCTGCTGACCCTCCTGAGTCCCGCCTGACCCTCCTGAGTCTCCGATCCTCCCCCGCTGACCCTTGAGTCCCCATGACCCCCACTGACCTGAGTCCCCATGACTCCCGCTGACTCTCCTGAGTCCCCCCGACCCCCATTGACCCTGAGTCCCCATGACCCCCGCTGACCCTGAGTCCTGCCTGACCCCCCCTTGCTGACCTTCCTGAGTCCCCATGACCCCTGCTGACCCTCTTGAGTCCCGCCCAATCCCACTGACCCTCCTGAGTCCCCGCTGACCCTCCTGAATCCCCCACCCTCCCCCGCTGACCCTCCTGAGTCCCCTGACCCCCATTGACCTGAGTCCCCATGACTCCTGCTGACCCTCCTGAGTCCCCTGACCCCCATTGACCCTCCTGAGTCCCCTGACCCCCATTGACCCTCCTGAGTCCCCATGACTCCTGCTGACCCTCCTGAGTCCCCTGACCCCCATTGACCCTCCTGAGTCCCCATGACCCCTGCTGACCCTCCTGAGTCCCCTGACCCCCATTGACCCTTCTGAGTCCCCATGACCCCTGCTGACCCTCCTGAGTCCCCTGACCCCCATTGACCCTTCTGAGTCCCCATGACTCCTGCTGACCCTCCTGAGTCCCCTGACCCCCATTGACCCTTCTGAGTCCCCATGACCCCCGCTGACCCTCCTGAATCCCCCTGACCCCCATTGACCCTCCTGAGTCCCCATGACTCCTGCTGACCCTCCTGAGTCCCCTGACCCCCATTGACCCTTCTGAGTCCCCATGACCCCCGCTGACCCTCCTGAGTCCCCTGACCCCCATTGACCCTTCTGAGTCCCCATGACCCCCGCTGACCCTCCTGAATCCCCCTGACCCCCATTGACCCTCCTGAGTCCCCATGACTCCTGCTGACCCTCCTGAGTCCCCTGACCCCCATTGACCCTCCTGAGTCCCCATGACCCCCGCTGACCCTCCTGAATCCCCGTGACCCCCATTGACCCTCCTGAGTCCCCATGACCCCCGCTCGCGGCCTCCTGTCGGGACAGGTTTGCAGCGTCCAGGGCCCGTCGGCTGCGCCCGTCCCGCCCCCCGGCTTAACCTGGGAGCCCAAGCCCAGCGGGAAGGACCTGGTCAGCGGGACCTGGAGGGGAGGGCGGAGCGGAGCGGGGCGGGGCGGGTGCACGTGGCCCGCGCCTGCTCCCCCCCCCCCCCCGCACCCCCCCAGCCCCGCCCGCGCCGGACCCCCAGCCCCCGCCCGCGCCGGACCCCCAGCCCCCGCCCGCGCCGGACCCCCAGCCCCCGCCCGCGCCCGCGCCGCCCCCGCCCGCACCCGCGCCGCCCGAGCCCCCGCCCGCGCCGGACCCCCCAGCCCCCGCCCCGCCCGCGCCGGTCCCGCCCGCGCCCCCGCCCGCGCCGGCCCCGCCCGCGCCCGCGCCGGACCCCCCCCCAGCCCCCGCCCCGCCTCCTCCCCCCCGCCCCCGCCCGCCCCCGCCCCGCCTCCTCCCCCCCGCCCCCGCCCGCGCCGGACCCCCCCAGCCCCCGCCCCGCCTCCTCCCCCCCCGCCCCCGCCCGCCCCCGCCCCGCCTCCTCCCCCCGCCCCCGCCCCGCCCCGCCTCTTCCCCCCGCCCCCGCCCGCCCCCGCCCCGCCTCCTCCCCCCGCCCCCGCCCGCGCCGGACCCCCCCCCCAGCCCCCGCCCCGCCTCCTCCCCCCGCCCCCGCCCCGCCCCGCCTCTTCCCCCCGCCCCCGCCCGCCCCCGCCCCGCCTCCTCCCCCCGCCCCCGCCCGCGCCGGACCCCCCCCAGCCCCCCGCCCCGCCTCCTCCCCCCGCCCCCGCCCCGCCCCGCCTCTTCCCCCCGCCCCCGCCCGCCCCCGCCCCGCCTCCTCCCCCCGCCCGCGCCGGACCCCCCCCCCAGCCCCCGCCCCGCCTCCTCCCCCCGCCCCCGCCCGCGCCGGACCCCCCCCCAGCCCCCGCCCCGCCTCCTCCCCCCCCGCCCCCGCCCGCCCCCGCCCCGCCTCCTCCCCCCGCCCGCCCCCGCCCCGCCTCCTCCCCCCGCCCGCCCCCGCCCGCCTCCTCCCCCCCGCCCCCGCCCGCGCCGGACCCCCCCAGCCCCCGCCCCGCCTCCTCCCCCCCCGCCCCCCGCCCGCCCCCGCCCCGCCTCCTCCCCCCGCCCCCGCCCGCGCCGGACCCCCCCCAGCCCCCGCCCCGCCTCCTCCCCGCGCCCGCGCCGGACCCCCCCCAGCCCCCGCCCCGCCTCCTCCCCCCCCGCCCCCGCCCGCGCCGGAACCCCCAGCCCCCGCCCGCGCCGGACCCCGCCCCGCCCCGCCTCCTCCCGCCCGCCCCCGCCCCGCCTCCTCCCGCCCGCCCCCGCCCCGCCCGCCCCCGCCCCGCCTCCTCCCCTCGCCCCCGCCCCGCCCGCCCCCGCCCCGCCTCCTCCCCCCGTCCCCGCCCGCGCCGGACCCCCCTCCCGCCCCCGCCCGCGCCGGACCCGCCCCGCCCCGCCTCCTCCCCCCCGCCCCCGCCCCGCCTCCTCCCCCCGCCCCCGCCCGCGCCGGACCCCCCCAGCCCCCGCCCCGCCTCCTCCCCCCCGCCCCCGCCCGCGCCGGACCCCCCTCCCGCCCCCGCCCGCGCCGGACCCGCCCCGCCCCGCCTCCTCCCGCCCGCCCCCGCCCCGCCTCCTCCCGCCCGCCCCCGCCCCGCCCGCCCCCGCCCCGCCTCCTCCCCCCGCCCCCGCCCGCGCCGGACCCCCCTCCCGCCCCCGCCCGCGCCGGACCCGCCCCGCCCCGCCTCCTCCCCCCCCGCCCCCGCCCCGCCTCCTCCCCCCGCCCCCGCCCGCGCCGGACCCCCCCAGCCCCCGCCCCGCCTCCTCCCCCCCGCCCCCGCCCGCGCCGGACCCCCCTCCCGCCCCCGCCCGCGCCGGACCCGCCCCGCCCCGCCTCCTCCCGCCCGCCCCCGCCCCGCCTCCTCCCGCCCGCCCCCGCCCCGCCCGCCCCCGCCCCGCCTCCTCCCCCCCGCCCCCGCCCGCGCCGGACCCCCCTCCCGCCCCCGCCCGCGCCGGACCCGCCCCGCCCCGCCTCCTCCCCCCCGCCCCGCCCCCGCCCCGCCCGCCCCCGCCCCGCCTCCTCCCCCCCGCCCCCGCCCGCGCCGGACCCCCCTCCCGCCCCCGCCCGCGCCGGACCCGCCCCGCCCCCTCCCGCCCGCCCCCGCCCCGCCTCCTCCCGCCCGCCCCCGCCCCCTCCTCCCGCCCGCCCTCGCCCCGCCTCCTCCCCCCCGCCCCCGCCCGCGCCGGACCCCCCTCCCGCCCCCGCCCGCGCCGGACCCGCCCCGCCCCGCCTCCTCCCCCCCGCCCCCGCCCGCGCCGGACCCCCCTCCCGCCCCCGCCCGCGCCGGACCCCCCCCAGCCCCCGCCCGCGCCGGACCCCCCCCAGCCCCCGCCCCGCCCCGCCCCGCCCCGCCTCCTCCACCCCCCGCCCCCGCCTGCGCCCCCAGCCCCCTCCCCCGCCCTCGCCCGCGCCCGCCCCGCCCGCGCCTGCGCGCTCGCCCCGCCTCCTCCCCCCCTCGCCGAGGGAGGCGGAACCTGGGCGAGACCAGGCTTAGGGAGCGGGTGCAAAGTGCTTCCCTCTGTCCAGCGAATGGGCCCCAAGCCGATGGCTGGGCTCGGCCAGGGCTCTCCGCGACCCCCGGTCCGCGTGCGGCTCCTTCCCTCGCCCCGTCGTCCGCGCGCCCCTGCTCCTCGCTGCCCTTCCCCCCCGAGAGTCCGTTCTGGTCGAGCCCACCCCAAAAGAGGTTCGCGTTCGCCCGGAGTTACGCAACCGTTGTCCTGGTCGGAGCAGGCGGAGCCGGGCCCTCCCGTTCCTAAAGTACGGCCCGCAGCCCGGAGCTCTCCGGGGCGGTGGCAGCAGGCGGGGCGACGCTCCCCGGCGGTGACAGGGGAGGCGCGGGGCGGGGCGGACGTGGGCAACGCTCCCCGGCGGTGACAGGGGAGGCGCGGGGCGCGGCGGACTTGGGCGACGCTCCCCGGCGGTGACAGGGGCGGGGCGGGGCGGACTTGGGCGACGCTCCCCGGCGGTGACAGGCGGGGCGGGGCGGACTTGGGCGACGCTCCCCGGCGGTGACAGGCGGGGCGGGGCGGGGCGGACTTGGGCGACGCTCCCCGGCGGTGACAGGCGGGGCGGGGCGGGGCGGACTTGGGCGACGCTCCCCGGCGGTGACAGGCGGGGCGGGGCGGACTTGGGCGACGCTCCCCGGCGGTGACAGGCGGGGCGGGGCGGACTTGGGCGACGCTCCCCGGCGGTGACAGGCGGGGCGGGGCGGGGCGGACTTGGGCGACGCTCCCCGGCGGTGACAGGCGGGGCGGCGCGCGGCGGCCTGGTTCCGGGACGCGCGGCCACCGGCCGGGGATGCCGCTCGGCGCGCCGCGTTCCTCGCCCGGTGACCGCAGCGCGCCGCCGCCATGACGGTGGAGTTCGAGGAGTGCATCAAGGACTCGCCGCGCTTCAGGTGCGCGGGGCGCGGGGCGGCTTTGTGCCCGCCGAGGGGCGGGGTGCGTGGCCGGCGGAGGCGCCGGCGCCCGGCGGAGGCGCCTGGACAAAGCCGCGGCCCCCGGCGCGCCGCGTCGCCCCGGTGCGGGCCCGGGCCCGGAACAAAAGGCGCCGGTGCCGCCGGCCACCTCGGGCGCGGGGCGCGGGGTCCGAGCGCCGGCCGCGCCCCCCCGGCGTGCGCCCCGCGCCGCCCGTCAGAGCCCCTCGCGGGCCCGCGGGCCGCTGTGGCCAGGCCCGGCCCGGAGCCGCGCGGCCGGCGCTCGGACCCCGCGCACGGGGACACCTGCACGCTGTGAGGAAGCGCGCGAGCCGCTCGCGTGGCGCCCGTGTGCGTGAGGGAGCGGGCGCGTGCGGGCTGCGCCGCCTCGGCAAGGCTGGGCCTGGTCGGCGCGGGGCCTGCGGGCTCCGAGCCTGGCCCGGACCCGGTGCCCGCGCAGCCTGCGGTGCGGGCCTGCGGCCTGCGGGCTCCGAGCCTGGCCCGGACCCGGTGCCCGCGCAGCCTGCCTGCGGCGCGGGCCTGCGGCCCTGGGCGCGCTGGCACGCTGCTAGGCACATGCCGGGTCCAGGCGTGTGCGCCAGCATCAGGGGCCGTAGGTGTGCCTACCCCTGGAGGCACACACCGTGCCGTGGCCGACGCATGTTTGTGCATGAGTGTGTCATTCCTCTGAACGGGAGATCTGGAGGCTGCTCTAGCAGTCCTGGAGCCAGCCCCTTGCAAAACCACAGGGAAGCAGCAAGGAAGCCTTCAGGAGTCTGGGGCTGGGCAGGTCAGGGTCACCCCCAGCAATGGCTCCGCGGCCTGGGCCGGGAGCTAGGGGTCTTCTGTTAGAGGTTCCAGACACCTTTTGTGATTTGGAGAAGGCGCCTCGGGAGCCCTGCCATCCCAGCCTGCTCGCAGGGATGAGGCCAGAGGTCTGTGCCAGGGACTTGGTCTGGGCCCTGGCCCTCCCAGGCAGCTTCAGCTCCTCCTCCTTTGCTGAGGGTCTGGGCGCCGCCAGCCAAACCCCATTGACTTCCCTTCCACAGCCAGCAGGGTGGACCTGTGGGGCTGCCGTAGGTGCGGCAGGGATTCCTGATGGGAGAGGTACCCTGGGAAAGCGGCCCCACAGGACCGGGCAAGGCTGACGTGAACTGCCCAGACGTGGCCTTGGGCCAGGGAGCCCACTTGGTGGTCTGGGGCAGGTGCTGGTTGGAAGGGTTTTGAGGTCCCCCGCCAACTCACTCTCAGGTGTCACTGAGGTTGTCACCTGGCCTGGCCTTGGAGCCCCTGGCGGGGGCTCATAGGAGGCTGTGGACATGGGCAGCCTGGGATGGGAGGGGTCCTACGCAGGGAGGGGTTGTGACCACCTCAGGAATGCCTCATAGCTCCAGAACTGCTGGGGGGGGGGGAGACGCTAGGGATGGGGCTGCCTGGCCTCCTCGGAGGGCCCTTCCCTGGGTGGGGCTTCAGATGCTGAGTCACAGCCTTGAAGGGGACCCTCCCACCCTGCGTGCGGCCCAGGCAATCCCAGGGCCGAGTGGAGGCTTCCCATTCCCCGCTGGGGTTCGTGCGTGCGTGCGTGCCTGCCCTCTGTGCTCTGCTCCACACCCACTCTGCCCCAGGGAGCACAGGTGCCAGCTCTGGTGCCACCCTGCCCTCGCTGCCTCTCAGGCCCCGGCTTTCCAGCCAGGCAGGGGCAGCAGCTCTCCTGCAGGCTGTCGGAGCTGCCCAGCCTGTTCAGAGAGCCAAGACGTTCCTACACCCTACTCCCCTAGGTGGAGGGTCTCCCACAGCTGTGGTAGCTACCTGCAAGTGGTATGGGCTAGGACCCTAGGTGACGGGCATTTCTCCTAAGCAGGGCAGGCTGGGATGGTACCCTGTGAGCATGGGCCAGCAGTGGTCCCAACAGATGCTGCAACTCTGTGTCCCTGCCCCCCTCTTCCAGAGCCCAGGGACTCCTTAGTCCCTCAAAACAGGTGAGGGCTGTCTAGAGCATTCATGTCCTAGCGGGGAGGGCACACATCCAGGACTCTTGAAGGTCCCTGGCTTGGACAGCCTTGCCAATTCCGTCCAGATCCTAATTAAAGAAAGCAACTGGACTCTGGTGGCTCACACCTGTGTTCCTAGCTATCCAGGAGGCTGAGATCTGGGGATTACAGGTTAAAGCCAACTGGGGCCAGAAAGTCCTTGAAACTCTTGTTAGCCACCAAAAATGCCAGAAGTGGAGCTGGCTCAAGTGGTAGAGCAGACAAAGCACAGAGACAGCACCCAGGCCCTGAGTTCAAGCACTAGGACCATCACCAAAGCAAACAAACACTATGGTCCCATGTAACTCTGAGAAGGCCCTCTCCCTTCCCACACAGAGATGGGGTGGTGAGGAACTACTAGGTCTTGTGGCCTCTCCTCACTGTCCCCCCAGACTTATCTCTAGAGGCCTGTACCCATTCCCAGGGGCCCTCATACTCCTTCAGACAGATGGGCTCAGCTTACCAGCTGAGCTAATTGTGCAGGGTGTGTGTGTGTGTGTGTATGTGTGGAGCCTGTCCCTGTTTCCTGACTTCCTGTTGGCAGAATAAGGGGGTCACGTGCTTGCTCCATCTGCCTCTGGCTTCCGGGGATTCTCCTGGCTTCTGGTGATGTCACCATTAACTCTTCCCTCTCCAAGGCAGCCCCATTGTCAGGCTGGCCTGGAGGGAGTGGGTTCTGAGGAAGCCTAGCCACCTCTCCTCTCCACAGTGCATTGTGCCTGTTGGCAGTCTAGGACAGCCTCTCACTGTTTTGGAGCCTGGTGGTCCGTTACCTGATGGCTCACACCAGGTCTATTCCAGGGTTCCCCGCATCAGGCCATGGCAGGCTGCATTAGGAGGAGGGGTGAAGGACAGACTTTTAGGGGCCAGGGGGGTCTAGGTGGGGTCTTCTGGGTCAACGTTCATCTCCAGAGAGAGGGGGGGCGACAGATGCTCTACCTGCCCTGGGTACCGGGGAGCTCTGACCCCTGCTGTGCGCAGGGGCTGAGGTCTGTTCTTAGACTGCAGTAGTCAGAGCCCAAAAGGGTCCCAGCTGACGTGCCCCCCACCCCCTCCGCCTGGGGTGTGACCCCTCCCTGGGGTGTGCTCCACCACCACCACCACCACCACCACCCCCTGCCTGGGGGTGCTGGTCTGAGGCTGGCTGGGTGGTTTCAGTCATGGCCTCCAGGCAGGGTGTTTGGGTCTCCTTCCTACTTCCTGGAGATCCCAGCCAGCAGCAGAGCCTCTCTGAGAACTCAAGGGGAGCGGAGGCTCTAGGCCTGAACGGCCAGCATAGATGGTCCACCCAACAACCATTCTTGTTGCAGGGCGACCATCGATGAGGTCGAAACCGATGTGGTGGAGATCGAGGCTAAACTGGACAAGGTCAGGCCAGGCTGGGGGGCGGGGTAGCTGAGGGTTCATCATTGTCTTGTCTGCCCCATTCCCAGACTAGACTTACGATGGCTAATGGCCCGACTTCCCATCAGCATCCGCCCACCTGGCTGTGTCAACACACGTGCCATGCACAGCGCCTGGGTTGGCACCATGTTCCTCTACCGGTGTCCTGCCCCATGTGATCCAAGGGCCACAGAACACAGTCGGCCCTGAGTCCCATCCCTCCAGGACGCAGTCGGCCCCCTGTCCCACCCCTCCAGGACGCAGTCGGCCCCCTGTCCCACCCCTCCAGGACGCAGTCGGCCCCCTGTCCCACCCCTCCAGGACGCGGTCGGCCCCCTGTCCCACCCCTCCAGGACGCGGTCGGCCCCCTGTCCCACCCCTCCAGGACGCGGTCGGCCCCCTGTCCCACCCCTCCAGGACGCGGTCGGCCCCCTGTCCCACCCCTCCAGGACGCGGTCGGCCCCCTGTCCCACCCCTCCAGGACGCGGTCGGCCCCCTGTCCCATCCCTCCAGGACGCGGTCGGCCCCCTGTCCCATCCCTCCAGGACGCGGTCGGCCCCCTGTCCCATCCCTCCAGGACGCGGTTGGCCCCCTGTCCCACCCCTCCAGGACGCGGTCGGTCCCCTGTCCCATTTCACCCAGGTAGCTGACCTCCGCTGGTGGCTGAAGGGCACAGCTGCTGGGGCCATGCTTTGTGTGACTGGTTAGAGGCCAAGGGGCGGGGGGGGGGGGGCAGGTGTCACAGCTGAGGGAGGCAGGAAGGCCAGCGTCCCTGAGCTCATGTAGAGAGCCCTCTAGCCTGTGACCCTTGCCCCCTCTCCTGCCTGCCTCTGGCTCTGAGGAGCGAGTTCCGGGCCTGTAGAAAGTCCTCTGCTGGCCACAGGGGTGTAGATGTGTCCTGGGTTCAGCTCGGGCTGCCCTTAGCCTGGTCTCCACATTGGGGCGATGGCTTCTCTGAGACCTGGCATTGAGTGGGTGTGAACTGCAGCCCCTGACCCTTCCCCGCCCCCTCCTTCCCTTCACAGCTGGTCAAGCTGTGCAGTGGTATGATTGAGGCCGGCAAGGCCTATGTCGCCACCAACAGGCTCTTTGTGAGTGGCATCCGCGACCTGTCCCAGCAGTGCCAGGGTGACGCCGTCATTTCGGTGAGGGGCCATTGGCTCGTGACCTCCATGTGGGCGTAGGGAAAGGGAGGCAGCTCCGGAGGACGCTCGGTCCTGGGAACCCGTGGGCATCTGTGCTCCTCCCCAGGTGCGGCTCTGTGTCCCCTGGGCAGGGAGGGTGCTTGTGGGTCCCGTGGGAATGCCAGCCACCCGGCCTGCTGCCCTGCTGGCACTGCCATCTCAGCACGCCTTCCCTACCTCTCCCCAGGAATGTCTGCAGAGGTTCGGAGACAGCCTGCAGGAGATGGTCAACTATCACACAGTAAGCCCCGTCAGACATGGGGTCCCCGCTCCCTTCTGAGCTTCCCCATGGCACCAGTCTGGAGAAGAGCTGGCCTCCTTTCAGGGCCTGACGATGGCAGCAGCCAGCAGGAAGGCTACTCTGCTCCCTCAGTCAGTGGGGTAGAGAGGCGTCCATGCTGTAGGATCCCAGCACCAAAGTGGACGGACACACAGGGCAGGCGAAGGCATTGGGGGGGGGGCACAGCCTGGAACCGGAGCCCCAGACTAAACACGGGCTCCACCCTTGTGAGGAAGTGCAGAAATAAACTAGATGAGTGAGGCTCCTCCTGGCAGCCTGCCAGTCCCGCCGGCCAGCCCTTCTCCCTGCAGGGGGTCTGATTCTGAGTGCTGCAGAGAAACCCCTCAGCACTCCCCACTCCCAAGCCGGGCCTGTGCTAGCCCCCTCCCTGACCCAGTCTGCTGCTGTGGGGCAGGGCAGGCAGTCTGGAGGTGGCCTGAGTGTACGGCCCTCTTGGACACTTGGAGGTGGAGCTTTACAAGAGTATTTGGTACCCTTGGCCTTTGGCTGGCCAAGGGCCAGATGAGCAGATGGCCACAGTTGTTGGCCCTGGGCACTACCCAGGATGGGGCGACTTCCTTGGCCCCCAGAGGCCAGAACTACCCTGGCCCCAAGAGGCTAGCTCCAAGTGCGAGACAAGCCATGGCGGCATGTTCTCTGCAGGGAGCTGGGTCTGGGCAGGACTGAGCGCCGCTCCCATAATGCCCAGCTAGGAATGTGGATGGGCGGGGCTTTGCCTTGAGAGCCCGTGGGGACCCCAGAGACCCCTCCCTGCCTCTGTCCCAGGTCCTGTTTGACCAGGCCCAGAGGTCTGTGCGGCAGCAGCTCCACAACTTCGTCAAAGAGTGAGCAGCCCGAACCCCTGCAGCACCCCAGGCCCCTGTGCCCGAACCCCTACAGCACCCCAGGCCCCTGTGCCCGAACCCCTGCAGCACCCCAGGCCCCTGTGCCCGAACCCCTGCAGCACCCCAGGCCCTTGTGCCCGGTACCGGGTGCAGCACCCCAGGCCCCTGTGCCCGGTACCGGGTGCAGCACCCCAGGCCCCTGTGCCGGGTACCGGGTGCAGCACCCCAGGCCCCTGTGCCGGGTACCGGGTACAGCACCCCAGGCTCCTGTGCCCGGTACCGGGTGCAGCACCCCAGGCCCCTGTGCCGGGTACCGGGTGCAGCACCCCAGGCTCCTGTGCCCGGGTACCGGGTGCAGCACCCCAGGCTCCTGTGCCCGGGTACCGGGTGCAGTACCCCAGTCCCCTGTGCCCGGTACCGGGTGCAGTACCCCAGGCCCCTGTGCCGGGTACCGGGTGCAGTACCCCAGGCCCCTGTACCCAGGTACCGGGTGCAGCACCCCAGGCCCCTGTGCCGGGTACCGGGTGCAGCACCCCAGGCCCCTGTACCCAGGTACCAGGTGCAACACCCCAGGCCCCTGTGCCCGAACCCCTGCAGCACCCCTGGCCCCTGTACCCGGGTACCGGGGGCGATGCGGGAGCCCTCTTTCTTCTCCAGCGTAGGGGAGGGGCCTGTCCAGGCGGCCCTTGGCCAAGCCCCAGGCTGTAGGGGGTTGGCAAGGGTAAGCACTGGGGGAAGGGGCAGGAACGGGTGGATGAGGAGAGTTCCAGCCCAGCATCCTTGTGTGGTGGAGGTACATACCCTACCCGTGTCAGGTGGCTATTGGACACATAGGTCTGAAGTTGGGGGTGGGGCTGGGGCCTGGGCTGGATTGATGGAGAAAGTAAGGTGAAGTCAGGGGGACCAGGAGAGGGGTTGCAGGGGTGGGTGGGGCGGGAACAGGGAGTCAAGGAAAAGAGGCCCTGCCCAGGAGCAGGCAGCAAGGCAAGCCGGATATCCGTGCATCCTCCAAGTCCTGCTCTGCGCTCACTGGCACGCAGGGATGTACGGAAGTTCAAAGAGACGAAGAAACAGTTTGACAAGGTGCGAGAGGACATGGAACTCTCCTTGGTGAGGAACGCGCAGGCCCCAAGGCACCGGCCCCATGAGGTGGAGGAGGCCACCGGCGCCCTGACCCTCACCCGGAAGTGCTTCCGTCACCTAGCCCTGGACTACGTGCTACAGGTCAGCCAGGGGCCGCGGACACAGCTGTGGGCATGGTGGGAGCTGGTGTGCCGGTCCAGGGCCTAGAGTGGGGCGAGAAGCAGGCAGAGGCTTCGACCTTGATCTGAGAGGCATTGGAAGTGAGGGTGTGGCTCAAGTAGCAGCGTGTCAGCCTTGAGTGAAAAAGCCAAGTGAGCACTTGAGGTCCTGAGTTCAGTCCCCAGTACCAGAAACAGGAAGGAAAGAGAGAAAGGAAGGAAGGAAGGAAAGAGAGAGAGAGAAAGGAAGGAAGGAAGGAAGGAAGGAAGGGAAAGAAAACATATCCTGGCATTGCCTAGATGGGACCTTAGCTCTGGACATGGGAAAGGACTCCTGGACCATGGGGTTGTGACTCTGGTATGGAGCAGAGTTGAGATGACCTGGGGTCTCAGAGCCACAACAGGCCCGTGGCTGGGCCGGCCAGGCCGGGTGGGCGCCTGGGCTCCGGCCCCACTGAGGCCTCACCTTTGCACCTCCTCTTGCAGATCAATGTCCTCCAGGCCAAGAAGAAGTTTGAGATCTTGGATTCTGTGAGTCCCTGAAGGGCAGTGGCTTCAGTGTGGCCTAGGTGGTGGGAGCCAGTCCTCACCCGCCCGTCTGTCCCTGCAGATGCTGTCCTTCATGCATGCCCAGTACAGCTTCTTCCAGCAGGGCCACAACCTGCTGCACCAGCTGGACCCCTACATGAAGAAGCTGGCGGCTGAGGTGAGCTGCAGATGTGGGAGGTGGGGGTCCCTGCAGGGTGGGCTTGGGAAGGGGATCTGCTGATACTCCCCACACACAGCTGGACCAGCTGGTGATTGACTGTGCTGTGGAGAAGCGGGAGATGGAGCGCAAGCACGCAGCCGTTCAGCAGCGGGTAAGGCTCTGCAGCCCTCGCTCCTGACTGGGGCCCGTCCTCCTAGGCCTGCCGCCACGCCACCGTGCTGGCTGAGCCCCCCCTCCCCGAAGGTGCGTTCAGAGGGAGAGGTCCCTGTCCTTAGAAGCCTCTTCCCGGGGGGCTGAGTGCATGGAGGGCTGGCTCTGGGAGTTGAGACCTCACTCCCTTCGAGGGCCTCTGTTCAGCTGTGGGACAGTGGCTTTTGTTGCCCATCGGGACAGAGGTTGGCTGTCAGGGGATAAGAGAGACTTTGGGAAGGGACGGAGTGGGGTGCTTTTGGGAGCTGGGGACAGAGCCAGCACTCACTAGCTCTCTCTCTCTCTCCCCAACCTGCCTGGGCCTCAGACATTGTTGCAGGTAAGAGCTGGACCTGGGGTGTGCACGTGGGGACAGTGGGGGACAGCGTGGGGACAGCGTGGGGTGTGCGCGTGGGGACAGCGTGGGGATAGCGTGGGGTGTGCACGTGGGGACAGTGTGGGGTGTGCACGTGGGGACAGCGTGGGGACAGCGTGGGGACAGCGTGGGGACAGCGTGGGGACAGCGTGGGGTGTGCACGTGGGGACAGCGTGGGGACAGCGTGGGGTGTGCGCATGGGGACAGCGTGGGGACAGCGTGGGGACAGGGTGGGGACAGCGTGGGGACAGCGTGGGGACAGCGTGGGGACAGCGTGGGGTGTGCGCGTGGGGACAGCGTGGGGACAGCGTGGGGTGTGCACGTGGGGACAGCGTGGGGTGTGCACGTGGGGACAGCGTGGGGACAGCGTGGGGACAGCGTGGGGACAGCGTGGGGTGTGCGCGTGGGGACAGCGTGGGGACAGCGTGGGGACAGCGTGGGGTGTGCGCGTGGGGACAGCGTGGGGACAGCGTGGGGTGTGCACGTGGGGACAGCGTGGGGTGTGCGCGTGGGGACAGCGTGGGGTGTGCGCGTGGGGACAGCGTGGGGACAGCGTGGGGACAGCGTGGAGACAGCGTGGGGACAGCGTGGGGACAGCGTGGGGTGTGCGCGTGGGGACAGCGTGGGGACAGCGTGGGGACAGCGTGGGGTGTGCGCGTGGGGACAGCGTGGGGACAGCGTGGGGACAGCGTGGGGACAGCGTGGGGTGTGCGCGTGGGGACAGCGTGGGGACAGCGTGGGGACAGCGTGGGGTGTGCACGTGGGGACAGCGTGGGGACAGCGTGGGGACAGCGTGGGGTGTGCGCGTGGGGACAGCGTGGGGACAGTGTGGGGTGTGCGCGTGGGGACAGCGTGGGGACAGTGTGGGGACAGTGTGGGGTGTGCGCGTGGGGACAGCGTGGGGACAGTGTGGGGTGTGCACGTGGGGACAGCGTGGGGTGTGCACGTGGGGACAGCGTGGGGACAGTGTGGGGTGTGCGCGTGGGGACAGCGTGGGGACAGCGTGGGGTGTGCGCGTGGGGACAGCGTGGGGTGTGCACGTGGGGACAGCGTGGGGTGTGCGCGTGGGGACAGCGTGGGGTGTGCGCGTGGGGACAGCGTGGGGTGTGCGCGTGGGGACAGCGTGGGGACAGCGTGGGGTGTGCACGTGGGGACAGCGTGGGGTGTGCGCGTGGGGACAGCGTGGGGACAGCGTGGGGTGTGCACGTGGGGACAGCGTGGGGACAGCGTGGGGACAGCGTGGGGACAGCGTGGGGTGTGCGCGTGGGGACAGCGTGGGGTGTGCACGTGGGGACAGCGTGGGGACAGCGTGGGGACAGCGTGGGGTGTGCACGTGGGGACAGCGTGGGGTGTGTGCGTGGGGACAGCGTGGGGTGTGCACGTGGGGACAGCGTGGGGACAGCGTGGGGACAGTGTGGGGTGTGTACGTGGGGACAGCATGGGGTGTGCATGTGGGGACAGCGTGGAGTGTGCACGTGGGGACAGCGTGGGGACAGCGTGGGGTGTGCACGTGGGGACAGCGTGGGGACAGCGTGGGGACAGTGTGGGGACAGCGTGGGGTGTGCGCGTGGGGACAGTGTGGGGACAGCGTGGGGTGTGCACGTGGGGACAGCGTGGGGTGTGCACGTGGGGACAGCGTGGGGACAGCGTGGGGTGTGCACGTGGGGACAGCGTGGGGTGTGCACGTGGGGACAGCGTGGGGACAGCGTGGGGTGTGCACGTGGGGACAGCGTGGGGTATGCGCGTGGGGACAGCGTGGGGTATGCGCGTGGGGACAGCGTGGGGACAGCGTTGGGACAGCGTGGGTTGTGCACGGGAGGGACGCAGTAAGACAGGCAGCATCCTGCTGGGGTACTTCAGCACCAAGGACACCTCCTCCAGAGCGCTGGCGGTGCTGAGGCACCTCTGGGCTAGTTGCTGGCACGGGCAGGGTGCAGGTGAGCCGCCCTGGCCCCCACAGGAGAGCGACAGCGGCAGCTGTGTCTTCCTGCCCCGGCCTGCCCAGAGCAGGTGGCCAGGCCTGTCCTGCTAGACAGCGAGGCACACAGGCGTCAGGACTGCCAGCCCCTGAATGGAGCTCTGTTGGGCAGCTGGAGCTCACCCAGCTGGCAGCAGACACGGGGCACTCAGGATGTGTGTGGGGTGGGGGAGCTTCCTTCCTGAGTGGAGCCTATTTGTCCCTGTAAGCTGGGGGTGGGGGCTAGAGCACAGGCCCAGCTGTGAACACTCGGGGTCTGCCGGCAAGGCCTTGTAAGGGCGTTCATTCTATCAGGACCCACTGTAGCTAGTAGAGGATCTCCTGTCTTAGCCTTTGGTCTTGGTGAGCCTGGGATGGCGGTGGCTTCTTCCAGAGATGGATACTTCCTGAGGCCTGGCTCTGTCCTTTCCAGGACTTCTCCTATGATGAGTCGAAAGTGGAGTTTGATGTGGATGCACCAAGTGGTGTGGTGATGGAGGGCTACCTCTTTAAAAGAGCCAGCAATGCCTTCAAGACATGGAATCGGTGAGGCCTTCCTTGGGAAGTGCTGAGAGCAGGCTGAGCTGAGAGCAGAGGGGACGAGGCTGGCTCTGACCCCTTATCCTCCACTCCCCCCCAGGCGCTGGTTCTCCATTCAGAACAGCCAACTGGTCTACCAGAAGAAGCTCAAGGTGTGCTGGGGAAACAAGGTTCCCTTGGCCAGAACCCTGCCCACCTGGACTCTGGGGGCTGGCTACTCGGCGGGTGTTGGCACAGGGCTGAGGACACTATGGGTACCAGAGTCTACGAGGCCAGGGAAATGGGGAGCTTGAACCTGCTTGCTTGGGCGTTGCACGAAAGTATAGTGCAGGGCTGAGTGTGCGGGCCCTGCGGCTTCCCTTGCAGGACGCGCTGACTGTGGTGGTAGATGACCTCCGCCTGTGCTCTGTGAAGCCCTGTGAGGACATCGAACGGAGGTTCTGCTTCGAGGTCGTGTCACCCACCAAGTGAGGAGGGCCCACCGGCGGCGGGGTGGGGGCCCTGGGCCTTCCCTGCCTGACCGGCCCCTCCCTCTAGGAGCTGCATGCTGCAGGCTGACTCTGAGAAGCTGCGGCAGGCCTGGGTTCAAGCAGTGCAGGCCAGCATTGCCTCTGCCTACCGGGAGAGCCCGGATAGCTGCTACAGTGAGGTGTGCCCACCCCGCCATCCCACACGCAAGGGCACACCCCAGTGTGCTTGTGAGGGCTCCTGCAGGCTGCACGCATGTGTTTGCAAGCAGCAGTGCATGTGTGTGGATAAGCAGGGTTGTGCTGCTTGAGCGTGTGTATGCACACATGCCTGGGCAGATGTACTCTTGTGGGACCCTGGCCTGTTCTGGCCGCTTGGGCTGGGCGGGGAGGACCTCCGGCCGGGGAGGGTGGAGCTCCTGAAGGGCTGAGCGGTCCTCACACCGCCCTCCAGAGGCTGGACCGCACAGCTTCCCCATCCACAAGCAGCATCGACTCCACCACGGACCCCCGGGAGCGTGGAGCCAAGGGGGAGAGCGTGCTGCAGCGCGTGCAGAGCGTGGCTGGCAACGGCCAGTGTGGTGACTGCGGCCAGCCAGACCCCCGCTGGGCCAGCATCAACCTGGGTGTGCTGCTGTGCATCGAGTGCTCAGGGATCCACAGGTGACCTCTGGCTCTGGGCCGGCGGGGTGGGGCTATGCCCGGGTGGAGTGGTGCCCCGACTCACCCTGTCCCCTTGCGGTCTAGGAGCCTGGGCGTGCACTGCTCCAAGGTGCGGTCCCTGACACTGGACTCCTGGGAGCCTGAGCTGTTAAAGGTGTGCAGCTTTTTGTGTTTTTCTTTTTTTTGGTCATGGCTTGAACTCTGGGCCTGGGCGCTGTCCCTGCGCTCTTCAGCTCAAGGCACATGCTCTACCACTTGAGCCACATTGCCACTTCTGGTTTTCTGGTAGTTAATTGGAGAAAGGAGTCTCACGGTGGCTGGGAAGGTGGCTCAGTGGTAGAGCGCTTGCCTTGCATGCATGAGGCCCTGGGTTCGATTTCTCAGCACCACATAAGCAGAAAATGCCAGAAGTGGCGCTGTGGCTCAAGTGGTAGAGCGCTAGCCTTGAGCTGAAGAGCTAAGGGATAGCACCCAGGCCCAGAGTTCAGGCCCCACGACAGACAAAAACAAAACAAAAGAAAAAAAAGAGTCTCATGGACTTTCCTGCCCAGGTTGGCTTTGAACAGCGATCCTCAGATCTCAGCCTCCTGAGTAGCTAGGATGACAGGCGTGAGCCACCGGCGCCCGTTAGGTGTGCAGTTCTTGAGGGCCCCAAGGCCCTGTGGGGTGGGAGCTGGGTGGGGAAGCCCGGATTGACGGCCACACCCTCTTCCCACCAGCTGATGTGTGAACTTGGAAATACCACCGTGAACCAGATCTATGAGGCCCAGTGCGAGGGCCTGGGCAGCAGGAAGCCCACAGCTAGCAGCCCCAGGTGAGATAAGCAGCAGCCTGGCCTGGCTGGGAAGCCCCAGCCTGCGGACACAGTCTCACCTCCACCCGTGGTCCAGACAGGACAAGGAGGCCTGGATCAAGGACAAATACGTGGAGAAGAAGTTTTTGCGGAAGCTGCCCACCGCGCCAGCCCGGGAAGCCCCAAGACGCTGGCGGGCACGCAAGTGCCAGCGCCCCAACAGCTCCCCTCACGCCCCCACCACCCGCCGCAAGGTCCGGCTGGAGCCCGTCCTGCCCTCCGTGGCTGCCCTGTCCTCAGGTGGGAGGACCGCTAGCGCTGCATTCTAGTTCACATGGCTGAGCACACGGGGCCAGGACCACTGCGGCTGGGAGGAGCCTCAAACCCTGGGTCCTGGTGTCGCAGGGCCTCAAGGGAGCTCTGCCTGGCTCCTAGCACCGCCCGGGGCATCCGCCTACCCAGGGCCTCAGTTTCCCCATCTGACCAGTGCTGCCCCCTCCCCCACAGCAGGCACATTGGAGCGCAAATTCCGCCGGGATTCACTGTTCTGCCCAGATGAGCTGGACTCTCTCTTCTCCTACTTTGACGCTGGGGCTGCTGGGGCTGGTCCCCGAAGTAAGTGTTTAAGGCGCCACCTCCTCCTGCCCCAGGGCTCTGCCCCCAGTCAGGGTGGCCAGAGGCGGGAAGAGGGAGGCTCCTGAGAGTGGACACCCTTGGAAAGCACTTGGTGTCCCACACGGGAGGAACCGGCTGCTGCTGGCATTGCAGGTCAGCTGGGCTGGGGAGGGCTCATTTGGACACTGGCAGGTCTAAGGCCAGAAGAGAAGCAGTGAGGGCCAGGAGAGATATGTGAAAATGTGAGTGTGAAGGTGTGTGCACACAGGTGTGTACGGATGACGGTGTGTGTGTGTGGGCGCTGCTGACCTGGCCCTAGGAGCGACAGCTCAGCATCTTCTTGCTGCCCGGGCAGTCTCCCCAGGGCTTGGCGAAGTCCTGACAGCTGGCTGTGGGCTGGGCCCATCCTGGTGTGCTGAGTGTGCACACTTGGTCACCTTTCCTGGGCAGGGCTGCCTCCTGCTACCCCGTGGGGGCTGGCCTACCCCCCATCTTCCCTGGAAGGTGAGTGGGGCTCCAGCTCTCCCCTAGCATTCTGAGAGGAGGCCAAACTCAGGACCCTCTTCCCCTACCGTCCTCCAGGTCTGAGCAGCGACAGTGGGCTGGGAGGCAGCTCTGACGGCAGCTCCGACGTCCTGGCCTTCGGCACGGGCTCTGTGGTGGACAGTGTCACTGAGGAGGGTGGGTGCCTGCCTCTTCACCTTTCAGCCCTTCCCCCCGACCCCCGACCCCCTCCCCTGCTGGAGGTCAGAGCTCCTGACCCTTCCACCCCGCAGGGGGCACCGAGGGCGTGGAGTCAGAGGAGTCCAGTGGGGAGGCAGAGGCGGAAGCAGAGGCCTGGCATCTGTCTGATGTACGTGAGCTTCACCCGGGTCTGCTGGCCCACCGAGCGGCACGTGCCCGCGATCTTCCTGCACTGGCCGCAGCATTGGCCCACGGGGCAGAGGTCAACTGGGTGGACACAGAGGACGAAGGCAAGACACCATTGGTGCAAGCAGTGCTAGGGGTGAGTGTAGGTGGCAGCTGTGTTATAACACTGCTGCGTGTTCATACCTGGGCGCCCCGACACTCGGGGCCGGAAGCAGGAGCAGGGGCCCTGCTGGGCACTATTCTGGCTTTGTCTGAGCTGCTCTGTCCCCAGGGCTCCCTAATTGTCTGTGAATTCCTTCTGCAAAATGGAGCTGATGTGAACCAAAGAGACAGCCTGGGCCGCGCACCCTTGCACCACGCCACGCTCCTAGGCCGAACCGGGTGAGTAACTTGTGCCCACCTCCCCTGTACCTACACTACTCCAGATGTCCTCACCCCCCCACCCCACAGCCAGGTCTGCCTGTTCCTCACACACCTCACACAGCCAGGTCTGCCTGTTCCTCACACACCTCACACAGCCAGGTCTGCCTGTTCCTCACACACCTCACACAGCCAGGTCTGCCTGTTCCTCACACACCTCACACAGCCAGGTCTGCCTGTTCCTCACACAGCCAGGTCTGCCTGTTCCTCACACACCTCCACCCCAGCCAGGTCTGCCTGTTCCTCACACACCTCACACAGCCAGGTCTGCCTGTTCCTCACACACCTCCACCCCAGCCAGGTCTGCCTGTTCCTCACACACCTCACACAGCCAGGTCTGCCTGTTCCTCACACACCTCACACAGCCAGGTCTGTCTGTTCCTCACCCCTACCCCAGCCAGGTCTGCCTGTTCCTCACACCCCCCCACCCACAGCCAGGTCTGCCTGTTCCTCACACACCTCACACAGCCAGGTCTGCCTGTTCCTCACACACCTCACACAGCCAGGTCTCCCTGTTCCTCACCCACCTCCACCCCAGCCACGTCTGCCTGTTCCTCACACACCTCACACAGCCAGGTCTGCCTGTTCCTCACACACCTCACACAGCCAGGTCTGCCTGTTCCTCACACACCTCACAAGGCAGGTCTGCCTGTTCCTCACACAGCCAGGTCTGCTTGTTCCTCACACACCTCCACCCCAGCCAGGTCTGCCTGTTCCTCACACACCTCACACAGCCAGGTCTGCCTGTTCCTCACACACCTCCACCCCAGCCAGGTCTGCCTGTTCCTCACACACCTCACACAGCCAGGTCTGCCTGTTCCTCACACACCTCACACAGCCAGGTCTGTCTGTTCCTCACCCCTACCCCAGCCAGGTCTGCCTGTTCCTCACACCCCCCCACCCACAGCCAGGTCTGCCTGTTCCTCACACACCTCACACAGCCAGGTCTGCCTGTTCCTCACACACCTCACACAGCCAGGTCTCCCTGTTCCTCACCCACCTCCACCCCAGCCACGTCTGCCTGTTCCTCACACACCTCACACAGCCAGGTCTGCCTGTTCCTCACACACCTCACACAGCGAGGTCTGCCTGTTCCTCACCCACCTCACACAGCCAGGTCTGCCTGTTCCTCACACACCTCACACAGCCAGGTCTGCCTGTTCCTCACACACCTCACACAGCCAGGTCTGCCTGTTCCTCACACAGCCAGGTCTGCCTGTTCCTCACACACCTCCACCCCAGCCAGGTCTGCCTGTTCCTCACACACCTCACACAGCCAGGTCTGCCTGTTCCTCACACACCTCCACCCCAGCCAGGTCTGCCTGTTCCTCACACACCTCACACAGCCAGGTCTGCCTGTTCCTCACACACCTCACACAGCCAGGTCTGTCTGTTCCTCACCCCTACCCCAGCCAGGTCTGCCTGTTCCTCACACCCCCCCACCCACAGCCAGGTCTGCCTGTTCCTCACACACCTCACACAGCCAGGTCTGCCTGTTCCTCACACACCTCACACAGCCAGGTCTCCCTGTTCCTCACCCACCTCCACCCCAGCCACGTCTGCCTGTTCCTCACACACCTCACACAGCCAGGTCTGCCTGTTCCTCACACAGCCAGGTCTGCCTGTTCCTCACATACCTCACACAGCCAGGTCTGTCTGTTCCTCACCCCTACCCCAGCCAGGTCTGCCTGTTCCTCACACCCCCCCACCCACAGCCAGGTCTGCCTGTTCCTCACACACCTCACACAGCCAGGTCTGCCTGTTCCTCACACACCTCACAAAGCCAGGTCTGCCTGTTCCTCACCCACCTCCACCCCAGCCAGGTCTGCCTGTTCCTCACACACTTCACACAGCCAGGTCTGCCTGTTCCTCACACACCTCCACCCCAGCCAGGTCTGCCTGTTCCTCACACACCTCACACAGCCAGGTCTGCCTGTTCCTTACACACCTCACACAGCCAGGTCTGCCTGTTCCTCACACACCTCACACAGCCAGGTCTGCCTGTTCCTCACACAGCCAGGTCTGCCTGTTCCTCACACACCTCACACAGCCAGGTCTGCCTGTTCCTCACACACCTCACACAGCCAGGTCTGCCTGTTCCTCACACAGCCAGGTCTGCCTGTTCCTCACACACCTCCACCCCAGCCAGGTCTGCCTGTTCCTCACACCCCCCCACCCACAGCCAGGTCTGCCTGTTCCTCACACACCTCACACAGCCAGGTCTGCCTGTTCCTCACACGCCTCACACAGCCAGGTCTGCCTGTTCCTCACACCCCCCCACCCACAGCCAGGTCTGCCTGTTCCTCACACACCTCCACCCCAGCCAGGTCTGCCTGTTCCTCACAGACCTCACACAGCCAGGTCTGCCTGTTCCTCACACACCTCACACAGCCAGGTGTGTCTGTTCCTCACACACCTCCACCCCAGCCAGGTCTGCCTGTTCCTCACACACCTCCCACAGCCAGGTCTGCCTGTTCCTCACACGCTTCACACAGCCAGGTCTGCCTGTTCCTCACACGCCTCACACAGCCAGGTCTGCCTGTTCCTCACACACCTCCACCCCAGCCAGGTCTGCCTGTTCCTCACACACCTCCACCCCAGCCAGGTCTGCCTGTTCCTCACACACCTCCACCCCAGCCAGGTCTGCCTGTTCCTCACACACCTCACCCCAGCCAGGTCTGCCTGTTCCTCACACACCTCACACAGCCAGGTCTGCCTGTTCCTCACACACCTCACACAGCCAGGTCTGCCTGTTCCTCACACACCTCACACAGCCAGGTCTGCCTGTTCCTCACACACCTCAAAGCCAGGTCTGCCTGTTCCTCACACACCTCACACAGCCAGGTCTGCCTGTTCCTCACACACTTCACACCGCCAGGTCTGCCTGTTCCTCACACACCTCACACAGCCAGGTCGGCCTATTCCTCACACACCTCCACCCCAGCCAGGTCTGCCTGTTCCTCATACCCCCCACCACAGCCAGGTCTGCCTGTTCCTCACACACCTCACACAGCCAGGTCTGCCTGTTCCTCACCCACCTCCACCCCAGCCAAGTCTGCCTGTTCCTCACACACCTCCACCCCAGCCAGGTCTGCCTGTTCCTCACACACCTCCACCCACAGCCAGGTCTGCCTGTTCCTCACACACCTCACACAGCCAGGTCTGCCTGTTCCTCACACACCTCACACAGCCAGGTCTGCCTGTTCCTCACCCACCTCCACCCCAGCCAGGTCTGCCTGTTCCTCACATACCTCCACCCCAGCCAGGTCTGCCTGTTCCTCACACACTTCACACAGCCAGGTCTGCCTGTTCCTCACACACCTCCACCCCAGCCACGTCTGCCTGTTCCTCACACACCTCACACAGCCAGGTCTGCCTGTTCCTCACACACCTCACACAGCCAGGTCTGCCTGTTCCTCACACACTTCCACCCACAGCCAGGTCTGCCTGTTCCTCACCCACCTCCACCCCAGCAAGGTCTACCTGTTCCTCACAAACCTCCACCCCAGCCAGGTCTGCCTGTTCCTCACACACTTCACACAGCCGGGTCTGCCTGTTCCTCACACACCTCACACAGCCAGGTCTGCCTGTTCCTCACACACTTCCACCCCAGCCAGGTCTGCCTGTTCCTCACACACATCACACAGCCAGGTCTGCCTGTTCCTCACCCCTACCCCAGCCAGGTCTGCCTGTTCCTCACACCCCCCCCCACCCACAGCCAGGTCTGCCTGTTCCTCACACACCTCCACCCCAGCCAGGTCTGCCTGTTCCTCACACACCTCCACCCCAGCCAGGTCTGCCTGTTCCTCACAGACCTCACACAGCCAGGTCTGCCTGTTCCTCACACACCTCACACAGCCAGGTGTGTCTGTTCCTCACACACCTCCACCCCAGCCAGGTCTGCCTGTTCCTCACACACCTCCCACAGCCAGGTCTGCCTGTTCCTCACACGCTTCACACAGCCAGGTCTGCCTGTTCCTCACACGCCTCACACAGCCAGGTCTGCCTGTTCCTCACACACCTCCACCCCAGCCAGGTCTGCCTGTTCCTCACACACCTCCACCCCAGCCAGGTCTGCCTGTTCCTCACACACCTCCACCCCAGCCAGGTCTGCCTGTTCCTCACACACCTCACCCCAGCCAGGTCTGCCTGTTCCTCACACACCTCACACAGCCAGGTCTGCCTGTTCCTCACACACCTCACACAGCCAGGTCTGCCTGTTCCTCACACACCTCACACAGCCAGGTCTGCCTGTTCCTCACACACCTCAAAGCCAGGTCTGCCTGTTCCTCACACACCTCACACAGCCAGGTCTGCCTGTTCCTCACACACTTCACACCGCCAGGTCTGCCTGTTCCTCACACACCTCACACAGCCAGGTCGGCCTATTCCTCACACACCTCCACCCCAGCCAGGTCTGCCTGTTCCTCATACCCCCCACCACAGCCAGGTCTGCCTGTTCCTCACACACCTCACACAGCCAGGTCTGCCTGTTCCTCACCCACCTCCACCCCAGCCAAGTCTGCCTGTTCCTCACACACCTCCACCCCAGCCAGGTCTGCCTGTTCCTCACACACCTCCACCCACAGCCAGGTCTGCCTGTTCCTCACACACCTCACACAGCCAGGTCTGCCTGTTCCTCACACACCTCACACAGCCAGGTCTGCCTGTTCCTCACCCACCTCCACCCCAGCCAGGTCTGCCTGTTCCTCACATACCTCCACCCCAGCCAGGTCTGCCTGTTCCTCACACACTTCACACAGCCAGGTCTGCCTGTTCCTCACACACCTCCACCCCAGCCACGTCTGCCTGTTCCTCACACACCTCACACAGCCAGGTCTGCCTGTTCCTCACACACCTCACACAGCCAGGTCTGCCTGTTCCTCACACACTTCCACCCACAGCCAGGTCTGCCTGTTCCTCACCCACCTCCACCCCAGCAAGGTCTACCTGTTCCTCAC